GTTACGGTACGTACGTACGTACGTACGTACGTACGTACGTACGTACGTACGACGTACGTACGACGTACGACGACGAGAGAGAGAGAGAGAGAGAGAGAGAGAGAGAGAGAGAGAGTTGCAGATAGTGTGTGCATGTGCTGAAATTCTTCCACAAGAGAGAAAACAGAGTAACTTATTCTTCAGAGAGAGAGAGATAGAGACAGACAGACAGAGGGGGAGGGAGAGAGAGAGAGAGATGAAGTGGGAGATGGAATTCCACTCTTCTGCCCCCTATTTTCCAAGCTCAATCTGGACCCTTGAAGAGAACAAATTGTTCGAGAAGGCCTTGGCCTTATATGACAAAGAGACCCCAGATCGATGGCACATGATAGCTAAAATCATACCCGGAAAAACAATCAGTGATCTTATGGGACATTATAAGCAATTGGTAGATGATATCAGTCGAATCGAAGCTGGTTGGATCGAGCTTCCAAGTTATAATTCCTCTGGGTTTCGATTGGATTGGTTTTCAGGTGATTCTCAGTCAGTGGATGGCCTCAAGAACGGCTCTAGGAGGGCCTCGGCGAAGCCACCTGATCATGAAAGGAAGAAAGGGGTCCCTTGGTCTGAAGATGAGCACAGGTTTCTACTCTAGGCCCTCTGAATTTCCTTCTCCCAATTTCTTATATGACTCTCTTGTTTGTTGGGTTATTTAGGATGACCATAGTTCGTGCTGTTTTCCTTTATTTGCTTTGTGGATAGAGACTTTCCTTTAAATTAGATGAACTAGTGTTTGTATTGAAATCTGTGTGTGTATGTGTATTTGTGAGAGAGAGAGAGAGAGAGAGAGAGAGCACTTTCCATCTGTGTATTTTTCTTGGGCACAGTATGTGTGTATATACCATATGCAGCTTTCTGTTAGTTCGAAAAATATATATGACATTTGCTTTACTGATAATTAATTCCTTTAACTACTCTATTTTCCTCTTAGTTTTACCAGTTATAACATGTTTAAAGAGAGGTTGGCTTGGTAATATTAGGCTTTGAGCTTAATCTGGCAACTCATGGGTTGTTCCATCGCTCATATGTGTGTGTGTGTTTCTTTTTCTTGTTGAGTGTGTCCATGACTCATTTTCGCGTCCAACAGCCGGTTCATGACTCATCTCTCTCTCTCTATTGTTGAATCTTGGCAGAGGATCAGTCCATGGCTGGGTGTGTGGCTGTGCGTGTGCGTTTTTTTTTTCCTTCAATTGGATTCTATTACTCATTTCTGTGATTGACCTTCATGACTCTCTCTCTCTCTCTCTACACCATGACCCACTTCATTATCACCAACTGCAGGCTCTTCCTCTTGGGTCTCAAGAAACATGGCAAAGGTGACTGGAGAAACATATCGAGAAACTTTGTTCAATCAAGAACAGCTACTCAGGTAGCAAGTCATGCCCAAAAATACTTCATAAGACTCAGCTCAGGAAGCAAAGACAAGAGAAGATCGAGCATACACGATATAACAACTGCCAATTTATCGGAGAAGAGATCCCCTTCTCCTCCTTCCCCTAATATTCAATCTCAGGCCTTTAATACTCAGCTCAGTACTTCTAGTGATCCAATTAAAACCCAAAATTTCAATAGTTTTTTCAGTCCAAACCAGACCAGTGAAGAAGTTGGTTCCTTCATCTCATCAGTCCCTCAAGCTAAGGCTACTATGTACATTTCACCGCCTCGGACAATTAGTCCTTATGAGGAAAAGCTCCACGAATCTGATATGGGGACACAGCATTTGATGTATCGGCTTCAGGCCTACAACCTTCACAACTATTGCTGATACTCTCTCACTCTCTCTCATTTCTATGTTGTTCATCAATGAATTCATCTCTCTATCTCTGATTCCCACCCTGCCACCCTCCTCCCTCCCCCCCAAAAAAAAAAAAAAAACTCATAGCTATGCTATTCATGGTGTCAATGAATTCACCTCTCTCCATATCTGTTTTTTCGTTAGCCCCTCTCTCTCTCTCTCTCTGGGATTTTATCAAATTTGTCCAATTCTAGGGTATGGGTTGAGTTGGGTTTTATCAAAAGGTGCTTCTGGTTTGGTGTTTGTGTTTCGAGTTTGTTACCAAGCTTCAAGTTGCTACCGCATGAACTGGTAGTCGCTGAAGTTGCAGAAGTCCAGTGCTTGTGTATTTGAAAGGGGAAGCTTCCAAGTTTATATAGTGTACAAAAGAAGATAGAAGCATGAATTTTATGGTAATTTCCATCCTCAGATACTCTTCTGAGGTATGTGTTGTAAATTGAGATATATATGTTTTATTTATCCTTCTTTTTTTGCATTTCAGAGTTTCAGGCTCTCTGGTTCTCTTTCTTCTTTCATGTCTTGGTCTATTTGCATTCAATGAATTTATAGTATCTGTTTTTTAGTGAGAGACATCTCTTATGGGCATGATTGTCTTCTTATTGCATAATTTTACTGAATTATACAGTATATCTTTAAGTTGCTTCAAATGGTGGCTTCACCAAACAAGAAGAGAGAGAGGGAAGGTCGGGCAGAGTTTTTCTTTCTTGTAATGGAGGGAAGCCTCTCTCTCTCACACACACACATACCCATGTGCGCACACACGCACGCAAAGTGGGGACTGATAATCTTTCATCCAGTCATAGAGGCAATCATCTCTCTCTCGGCAGCATTGAATACCGGTCAAATTGACAAATTTGCATCTGAGGGTTCTCTATATAAAGTTTTTTTTGCTTTTTTTTATTTTTTTATTTTGAAGGGGCAGGGCGGGGGTAGGAATCGAATTTGAGACGTAGCATTGCTAAAGTCAACTGCTAACCACTTAAGCCCAAACTCAATTCCTAAAGTTAATAATTGCAAATTATTTGGCCTCCTTAATCCGAATTGTTATTATTATTATTATTATTACTGTTATTATTATTGTAATATTTAAGCTAGGTCCATGACTGCTTTCCCTGTTCGCATGGGGGCCTTGCTATACTCATTTAATTTTTGTTTCTTTAATTAGCAAAGAGAAAGCTCCTTTGTTTCCTTAACTTGACCCATGATTGTGATTGCTTCTCATTATTTACAGTCTTCCTCGTAAGTAATTGAATGCTGATTCTTTTTGGGGTCTTTAGACCATTGTAGATTCTGTTCTTTGAAGAAAAGCTTTCATGGAATCATCTCTCTTTTCCAGCAAAAAAGCATAACTTCCTTGGAGCATAATTCAAATGCTTGAATTCCTTTGTCTTTCACCGACTCTCTCTCTCTCTCTCTCTCTCTCTCTCTCTCTCTCTCT